CCATTTAAAAACAAAAGCAACAGCATCAAACGACAAGCGGAAACAAAAAGGTAGACCAAGAATATACCAATTCAAACCCAGAAAAAATAGAGAAAACAAACAAGGAAAGAGAATAAAGAAAACCAAGAAATAACTAAGATGAGGAAATCTGATCTGAAGTCAGAAACTCCACCATCTTTGACACCGATCCCATTTCCTGGTGGGGCATTGAAGGGTGAATCAGAATCAGATTTGATGCTCTTTGTTGTAGAAATCCTGGTTGTGGGCTCAGGCTGAGGAGAGCTGCCGTTTTGGGGTTGACTCCCCACTTTTCTGCTGCTCAGAGGGGGTTCTAGCTTTTGTCTTGCAGTTTGGTCAGCGACTGAAGGTTGAAGTAGGTTAAAGATGTGGCCTCCGTTCTCCTACAACACATGTCCTCTATATGTTTTTAACTACTATCTGGGTCCTTTTCCCCCCTCTGGACCACCTGGGGAGGTTAATCCTGGTTATAATGTTTTTTCTCGGCCCTATGACATTTGGCTTCTTCTGTGTGTCTGGACCATGTTGTGAGCGTGATGACCAGTGTTTTGAAGTTCCGAAACAAAAGCACTCTTTGGACTGAATGTGACTAAATAAATGATTAAAAAATGTTATGTTCTGTCTTTTGTGGTTGTCTTGTTTGTTTCTGGTTTGATTTAGCGTCTCTTTCTCGTTATTTTATGTGTATTCGCAGTGATTTTGTGTCTTTTTGTTGATTTATTGTGTTTCTAAAAATTCTGCCCTCATTTTATGTCTGTTTGTGCTTCCTTTGTATGTTTTTGTAATATTCTATGGAGCTATTTTGTGTCCCTTTTCTGTTATTTTTTCACCATTTTCAGGAACATCTGAGTGTGCTGACCAGTGTTTTTAAGTTGTGACCTAATAGTAAATGGTTAAAAAAGATTAAAAAAAGGTTGCTCTCTCTGTCTAATGAGCAGCTGGGTCTGTTTGGTGGTGTCCAAATGCTGGGGCGCGCACTGGCTGGACATATGAGGTCACTCTGCCCCTTTCCCCCCCCACAGAGTCGGGACCTGGGAGCATGGCCTACACTCTGGGCTCGTCCCCGGCCGGCCAGCCGCGCGGCGTGGGGCCGCAGCACTGCGTGACCCGGGTGGAGCTGTCCGTCACCGCCAGCAGCCTGCTGGACCGAGACGTGGCCTCCAAGTCGGACCCGTTCTGCGTCCTCTTCCACGAGGTGGACGGAAACTGGGTGGAGGTGAGAGGTTCAGCTCCTGAGCAGCAGACCGAGGCTGAGCGTTGGTAAATTGCTGTTTGGGCCACACGTAATGAAGCCTGACTCAGCTGCAGGAAGGAGGAACAGGGAGGATTAACGGGAAGCGGGATTCAAAAAGAAGATTGAAGGGTGATTTCTGTTGGCGCTTGGGGGATAAAAGCAAAGAAAACAACCCCGAGGGGATCTGGTTATCGTCTATGCAGCCTATAGGTTATAAACCAGATCCAAACTCAACATGTCCTGACCATCTGGCTTCAGCCGGGCCTGCTGAGCTCAAATAAACCTGCAAAATCTATGATTTGCTGCAATGGGGATTGCAGCTCTACATAATAAGATGTTTAAATACCAGGATTTTCTGGACTGTTGGGTCCTGAGTGTAAGCCGCAGGCTAACTTTAAAAAGGAAAAACTTCTGGTACACATACAGGCCGCTCTAAGCCGTGGGTGCACACACTGTGCATGTGGCATATTTAGTTAACTTTTGATTAAATAGGAGCTGGTAACAAACACAAAAACATACCGTAAATGCTTTTTCCGACCTGTTCCTGAACTCACCGGTCTGATGGGAAGAGGAAATGAAGCTTTGTGTCTTTTCTTTGTCTCAGAGAGCATCCAGCATCATGCTTTAATTCACACATTTTAAACAGCTCTGAGGTATTTACCATTTTCTGTGTCTCGTCATGGTTGTTTTGTGCGTCTTTGTCATGGTTTTATGTCTTCTAGTAGCCTTTTTTGTGGTGACTTTATGTTATTTTCTGCCTTTTGTTTGTTGTTTTGTTTGTTTCTGGGTTGATTTAGCGTCTCTTTCTGATTATTGTATGTGTATTAGCAGTGATTTTGTGTCTTTTTGTTGATTTATGGTATATGATTGATTTCATTTTGGGGAATTTAGTGGATTCTCTTTTTCTTTTTTTTGACACAATCAGTTCAGGCCACATCTTCATTTGACTCCTAAAAAGAAAATTCTGTAGAGACTCTGAATTAAGTTCCCGAGGGGGCAAGGGGAAGGAGAAAGACGCCAAAAAATAAAGACACACACGATGACAGCCAGCGATGGAGAGGCTGGAACATGAACCTCAGCCGTGTTAGGACATGGCACCCAATCAGGAGCCAGTTAGGCAGTTCTCTAAATCCTGTGACTTTTGTTTTGCCTCTTTAAATCCAAACCCAGCCTGGTGACGCCGATGCTCGTGTTGTGTGGCCGCTCTGCTGTGTTCCTCAGCTGCTGTTTGTCACCTCTCTGCCGCCCAGGGACAGAAAACAAACCTGTCTGAATTATGCCGATCTCGTTGCAGACAAGAGCTGTGCAAATGTCACCCTGTAAGCGACACCAAACTGGGTTTGTCCTCCAGAGAGCACCGAGTGTCCCACTCAGAGTGGATCTGGGTCACATTCTAAGGAGCTGAATCAGAACAAATATCTGGACCTCACCCGTCTAAGCTGTCTGGAGCAGTACCAGAGTCCAGACTGATCGAACACCAGCATGAGAATCAAGAAACGGTTCCTATTTGGATCTATTTGGGCAAACAAACAAAACAAAGACGTAGTCCTCAAGATAAATCCCATCCGTTTACATTTATCACACCTTACATAGAAAATAGGTTGTGGATCCTTGTCAGAAATGTTCAAATGTATTGTAATAACATGCAGAATTCTGGGTTATTTTTGTTCGGGCTTTTTAATCTGTGGTTCCTGTCCTCTCTATTTCTCTATTATCTGGTCTGGGTTTTTTGTATGTAGGTCCTTTTTTGTCCGCCACTTCTCAGAAATCACCTGTTTCTTTATTATGGCCATTTATTTCTGCTTATGTGTCAGTTTAGTTGGATTGAATTTAACTTTCCTTTAATAAATCAAGTTCTCCCTGGTCCGCCTCGTGCTTAAAGTCAAATGTTACTATTTCATAAAAAACAGATTAATTATAATCAATTAGTTATAATCAATTAGTTACAAAGCTCTTATTGATTGGAGTTTTGAAGCTTCCATCGTTGGTATCTATATTTGTAGTTGTGAGTTCATATCGATTTGTATTCAGCTGCTCAGTCAGCTGGAACTCCAGAAGACATTTCCTCTGTTTTTCGGCGGCCACGAGCAGAGGAAAGTGGGATGTGAGAGCCGGTTCAGCTCCACGGTGGCTGATACATGAGCTGCCATGATCTCGCTGCCTCAGAAGGAAGCAGAAATCCTGGAAACAGTCTCCACACTCACTAATTCAGAGACATTATTGGAGAAAATCCTTCCTGATGGTTTGTTCCTTCCCCTTCTACTGCACCCATTCAGGTGGTGCCAAAAGAATTAAGGAATGATTTGTGTACATTTGTGCATATTTCCTCTTGGAAACAATGTGGCTGTCAAATGGAAGAAAAGAGAAATCACAAAAAGGGGGTGCAATTTGGAGAAGAACAGCTAAATAGCGGAACCATTGTTCTCTGAATGGGTCATTAACTGGAGGTCGTTGAAAAGAAAATGCCTCTGAATTATTCTGCAGACATTAAAATTCTGCATTATGTTGTGGGGGCTCTGTCAAACAGCGTCATTAAAAGTTAGAGCGAACGAAAGCCTCAGAGTCTTTAAAAGTGGATTCTCTGGAGGAAAGCTGCGGTTTGTAAGCAGCTGCTTCTTTCTGGCTGATAAAAAGTCAAAAACCAAGACAGCGAGGCGTTCCTCTGTGTCTCCTGGTCGTTCAGAGGCCACCTGCAAAACAGAAATAATCGATTTTTTTAATCCTGAGCCTTTTATGGGGGGTCCAAAGTGTGAATGTCGCCATTACTTACTGAAAATCCAGAAATGGTGGGGAGCAGCGATAGCTGGAGCCGGGAAGAAAGAAACAAATCAAACAGCAATATGGTAACAAATGATAAGCTTTTATTACAAATAGAGTAACATAAATACCTGTGAAAAGGGTCACAGCCCAGAAACAACCTAGAAGGGGGAAGAGGCAGTATAAAGGAAAACCTTGAGAGAAAACTCCCTTCTTTAGCTCCCGTGGAAGCAGCAGCTCCCAATATTAGCTCCTGCTCCCACCACACACACACTTCGATCCAGCAAAATTCACCAAACCAAATGCTGCTGGATAAAAAACCCACACAGCTCTCTGCACACCTTTTTCTAACCAGGCCAGTCTCCAGAACCAAATAGCAGCCATAGCAAAGAGCCTGGAGTCCCCAGCGCTCGTGGACACGCCCACAAACACGACTGCCACACGGCTCTGGCTGTGGGGGAAAGTCACACAGCTCCCGGCTGTGGTTGCGCTTTGTTTTGGTTCTTATTGCGCGTTTAACAAGTGCTGAACTGCAGGATGCTGCCGAGTCAAGCTGAGAGCTTCAGATCTAGCTCATTAGTCCACGAAGAGAAAACGAGCTTCAGACCAGGAGGGTTTAGCTATCCTTTTTTTCCATCATGTACTGACAGAGATATGGAAAGCAGATGATGTGTTTTATAGAGATGTGCAAATGTAAATATAACAGTATATAATAATATTTGTCCAGCTATGCAGCTTAAGTCTCCTCTGAGCTCTGAGCTGCTTCCTCCTCCAGCCTGAAGCCTCTCCAGCAGCTCCTTTCTTTAATGAGTCTCCAGGAGCAGCTCTCCAGCTTCTGGAAGGACGTCCCAAAGCTCTGCTCTGGATGCTGCTGCTGCCTTTTGGGGAGGATCCATCCCTCCATCAGAGCTGGGCTTCAGTCCACTTCTGGTTCCTCTGGCAGAGCCACGCCTTTCCTCCCTGTTTCCTTCCTTCATGGCTTCTGGACAGCCCCCCTTCATGGAGAGCATTTCTGATGAGGCCACCAGGAGATGGTCAGCTGGAGGTCTGGATGCAGCTCTCAGCTCCTGTTCAGCTCTCTGCTGGATCTGCTCCTCTTTCTGAAGGACCTCACTTTCAGGTCCTCTTCATCTGCTGGATTAGAGAGTTTTTCAGGCCCAGCTCTTCTTCTTCTGTCCTCCACTGGTCCAGTTTCCTCAGATGTTTCAAGGCCTCACTGCTCACCAGGCTGAGATCAGTTTTCAGCTCAATTTTAAAAAAGTGGATAAGGATTTAAAGAAAAATCTGCTTTTCCTGATGCAGTTTTGTGATATTTCCTGGATAATTTATTTATATATTTTTTCCAGCTCCAGAGATAAATGAAATGACTATATGTCAATGAAGTCTTGCTAAAATCAAAATCAAAAGATAATAGATGTGCAAATGCAGCGTCTTCACATCAAAGCTAACCAGGATAAATCCCAACTGAAGGTGGTTTTGGAGTAACTGGCCTTTGTCCTTCTCTCCTTGCAGCTGGGACGCACTGAGACGGCCGTCAACAACCTGAACCCGGTGTTCGGGGTAAAGTTCCAGGTGGACTACCATTTCGAAGAGGTCCAGAAGCTGCGCTTCGCCCTGTTCGATGAAGACAAGTGCGCCTCGCAGCTCTACGAGCACGACTTCCTGGGAGAGTTCATCTGCACACTGGGACTGGTACAGACTCTAAGATCTGAGGCAGAAACAGCCATAAGCAGAGCTTAGGGGAAGTTATCAGGCTCTGAGATGGTTTCTAGACTAGCGCAAACCTTCAAAACGTCCTGTTTTGTCTTTTAATCGTTGGTGAAGATGCTGATTCCTGTTCTGCTTTCCTCTCCTAGATTGTGTCCAATAAGAAGCTAGACAGACCATTGATCTTAGCCAATGGGAAGCCAGCTGGAAAAGGCTCCATCACGGTAAAAAATGGACATCTTTTAAGGCGCTTTGTCACCTCTGTTGTCAACCTGTTCCTGCAGCTTTTTCCTCTGTTCTTAACGTTTTCTGGCTGTTCACCTCCGATTAATGAACCTTTCTCTCTGGTAGCTGATAATTTAACTTAGTAGTTCAGTTTGAGCTGCAGAGGGTGGATTTTTTGCCTGTTTTTTTTGTTGTTGTTTTTTTGTTTTTTTTTGCTGTGCGTGCACAAACCCGGCTCCGGCTCGGGAGGACAGTTTCTGCTGCTTTTGTTTTCACCACTGCTCTGTTGTTCTGCCGCTTTAGATAACAGCGCAGGAGTTGTCTGACAACAGAATCATCACTCTGACCCTGAGTGGGCGTAAACTGGATAAGAAGGTAGGCGGCTGGACCCACACACACGCATTTCGGTGCGCTCAGGCCGAACAAACTCCTTTGGATGTGCAAAAAAAAAAGCCCACACAGACAAAGTTTACAGCAAAGGTTTCACTTCCTTCACCTCAGCCCGCAAATCCATGCAGATGGAAGCACACATCGAAGGACACAAGCCTGTGCTGCTATTTTCTGCCTTTACGACCTGAATCTAAACTCTCATAGCTCCCGATGTGAAGGAAGTCTTTAGGGTTTTCATTGGGGGCCTGAACCGTCAGAAAAGTGGGCTTTTTCCATCTGAACTGCCACCGCAGAGGTCAGTTTGTGTTGATGTTGTTCTCGGATTTGTGCGCAGGACTTCTTTGGTAAATCCGACCCGTACCTGGAGTTCCACAAACAGGGAGAGGACGGTAAATGGATGCTGGTGCACAGGACGGAGGTGGGTCGCCTTCCCTCGGCCCGTGGCGCTGTGAGGCGGCAGCGTGCGCCTTAACCTGTGTGTTTGCTGGGACTGCAGGTCATAAAGAACACGTTAGACCCGGCGTGGAGACCCTTCACCGTGCCGCTCATCTCCCTCTGCAACGGAGACGTGGAGCGAAATATCAAGGTTAGCGCTCACGAAGGCCTCCTGGGATGGGCCTCCTGGGATGAGCCTCCTGGGATGGGCCACCTGGGATTGGCCTCCTGGGATGAGCCTCCTGGGATGGACCTCCCGGGATGAGCCTACTGGGATGAGCCTCCTGGGATGAGCCTCCTGGGATGAGCCTCCTGGGATGAGCCTCCTGGGATGGGCTTCCTGGGATGGGCTTCCTGGGATGGGTCTCCTGGGATGGGTCTCCTTGGATGGGCCTCCTGGGATGGGCCTCCTGGGATAGGTCTCCTGGGATGAGCCTTCCGGGATGGGGCTCCTAGGATGGGCCTCCCGGGATGGGCCAGGTCTTTGGACTAATCCCGCTGACGTGTTTAGGTGCTGTGCTACGATTACGATAACGACGGCGGCCACGACTTCATCGGAGAGTTCCAGACCACAGTTTCCAAGATGAGTGAAGCCCAGAACTCGGTGGAGGTAAAACCCCTCCGCCGCTGTTTGTTGTTGTTTGTTTCCGGGTCGTCTGGGATCGAACTCCAGTTCCACCAGTTAAACCAGAGCGTTCCTGTAGCGCCTCAGACCTCTTTGGCGCGTCTCAAAGACACCTTCATCCAGCGGTGGCCGCCCACTGTTGGCTGCTCCAAAAAGCCTGGGGGGGGGGGGGGGCGCGTCCTTCACGCCAAGGTGGATTTTTGGGCCAGAGCAGCTAGAGGACACAAAATGAGAGTTCAGAGGAGCCCACTGAGTCCCACTGCTGGTGCAGTGACACCGATAGAAGCTGCTTCTGACCATCAGGTGACAAAGCAGAAAGCCTCTGTGATTGAAAAGCTCTGACATAACATACCGGCTCCCAGCTGAGCGCTTTGCTCTAAAATAGTGTGAAAAAAGGGGAAACAGATGCTTTAGGATTCAGTTTTTTTTGCTTTTGAACTCTTAAAGTGCACTGGGATAAGCTTCCCCCCTTCCTGTGACCTTAAAGCGGTCAAAGCAAGTGTAGAAAATCACTAATCTACAGATTCTGCTTCCGTAGATGAGCCTGTTTCTGCCTGTTTAAGCGTGAAGAGGATCTTTCCTCATTTTCCCTCATGTTATATAACCAGGATGTTCAATTTATGCTAAAAATCCTTTTTACAAGGGAAACCTGGTCAAGGTAGTAGGTACAGAAAATCAAGACTTTTTAAAGGGGTCAACAATAAAACAGAAAAACGGCCGCTTTATGCTTTATATCCATGTAAAGCCGGATCTGAGGGGTGAATTTACCCAAAAGAGGCTTTTAGATGAGCAGTGTTGTCTGTGACATCAGCTATCTAAACCAAAGAAGATTCAAGGCTAATTCAGAGATTTGGGGGTTAAAATTGAAGTGAGGCTCTTTGACATTTAGGAGTCTGCAAGTGTCCCTTCCTGCTATATCTGCTTAAATCCCCTTTAAGGACTCTTCATATGCTCTAATACGCTGTGCTGCGTGTCAGAATAATCACAGCTATCGCACTGGAGGCACTAACCCGTCTGAGATGCCTTCAAGGACCAGTAATAATGTGGGTCAATCTGAAACGCCAATAAAAAAAAAGATGCAAATGAGTGCAAACACATGCACAGGCTCGTGAGGATAACAGGGGATGAGGCTTTATGCTTTAATGATCATATCAGTTTATTCTCCTGTAAAGCCATGTTCCAAAATTAACTAATTAATTAACAGGAGCATAACCAAACCCACAGATTGTCAAAGGCTACGACTGAAAAAGCCCAAACTGGACTAATAAATCTGAGTTTTTCTGCTAACTTCAGACCCGTTTTCCGGATAAAGGGCAGTGCTGAGCCATTGAACCCTGTTAGACCCGAGTGAAAAAAGCCAAAGCTGTTTCTGATCCTGAACAAATCAGGACGGCATCATTATCCAAGCGCCGGCCTTCCGCCGCCTCCTCTGGACTCTGACTGGCTTCACTGGGTTTGGTGGCTCTCCCGTCTGGGGGAGATCAGAGAGCAGCCCGCTCGTTAGCGGCTCGCCGTGCGCCCGCCCGCGTGCCAAAGCAGCCTCATGGCCTGTTCTCACACCCGGAGGGGGTGGGGGGATAAGGAGCAAACAGCAACAGGGCGGGGGCAGAAGGCAGAGGGAGGGTGTAGAGAAGGATGGACGAGCAATGCACGCCGTCCGGAGCTGAGCTGCCCGCCGTGTGATCAGAGACTGACTTACAGCGTCCGGGTTGGAGTGGCTGCTTCAAACGCCGCTTTTGATCCGGCAGGTTTCTGCCCAAAATGTGTGTGGCTTTCTGTCGGGGAACAAAGGCAGCCCCGCTCGCCCGCTCCCTTTCATCTTAATCGTGTTACATTAAGATAATAGATCAATTAAATTCATCCTGTGTTCACATTATGAGGCCAAACAAAGGGTGGGGGGGGTGCATCATTACAGCTGAAACGGACCAATCACAGCCCCTCTGAGCAGGTCCCCCCGGCTCACTTCCACTCTGTCTCCTCAGGTGGAGTTCGACTGCATCAATCCCAAGAAACAGAAGAAGAAGAAGAGCTACAAGAACTCTGGAGTCATCGTCCTCAAGTCCTGCAAGGTGAGGAGGGAGGCGGCGAGGGGTTGTCTGGTGTTCGTGCAGCTTCAGCCTCTGCCTGCGTTCAGACTCTAATTACTGTTGTGGACAGACGCAGCTCAGCCCTCCACGCCGGACTGTAATTAGCTCTGTGGACTCACACGTTTCACACAAGCTCAGATCTTTCCCGTTTGAGTTTGTGTGTTACTTTAAAATTTGAGAAAAATGGCTTCACAAAACACAAAAATCATTGAGGTAAAAACTAAGCCCCATGATCCCCCCCCGGGCTGAGTTCTGGTGGACCTTCAGCTCCTTCTCAGACTTGCTGCTGCAGATCTGCTGCTGGGTTTGGATCTCACAGGCCAGATGACCAAACTTATCAAGACTCACACCAACCGAGCTGCAGCTTTCGATTCTTTAGTGGTAATCTGGAGCATCCCGACCCACAGGCGGCGGCTCCTCCATCACGTCTCATTTCCTGCACAGCCGCCTCCAGCAGGTCCCTCTATTTTCCCCTCCAGAGATTCATTTGTGTGGAAATCATCAACACAATAAGCCGCGTCCATTTAAATCCACATCAGGCGAGTCGTTCGTCTCCCAAACCCGCCGTAATGAGAGATTCTGGCTCTGGCCTCAGATGACAGCCTCCTAACTGGGCGTTTACAACTCCCAGTAAATGGCTAATTAGTGCCACAGCTCCAACGCACAGAGGACACAAAACAGGAGGGACGGCAGCCGGCTACTGGAACAACATTAAAGCCATGTGTGTGTGACAAGCTTTCATAATTGATCCTTTTCCCTTCATCCTCTTTCATCATGAAAAAGCCTTCACACACACAGACGCACGCAGACGCACACGTTCAGTACAACAAATGAAGAAAACTGCTAATACAGTAATTATATTTGTTGGCTGGCGGCAGGGATTAGACTAATGAGGGTAAAATCCGTGCTAAACGTTCACTGTAACTGGAGTGGAAATTGTGCTCAAACAAGATAACAAGTGGTGGAACATTATATTAGAAACACTGCCTGTTCAATGTTTTAATTTAAGGTTCCACTGTGAGAAGAGGAAACTCAGTGATGTTTAAAATGGGGCTGATTGGTGAACCTGACGGCCTGCTGATGCTAACACATCCTCACCTCCTCTGTTTCAGATTACACGGGACTACACCTTCCTGGATTATATTCTTGGAGGATGTCAGCTCATGTTTACAGTGAGTATCGTGTCCACACGTCTGTTTCTCTGCCCCTGCAGCGGCGTGCTAATGAGATCCAGGCCTCCACATGCTCCGCTCTGGAAAAAGGGAGAGAAAACGTCCTGATTTTCTATTTTCATCTCCCAGGGTTACAGCTGGATCGCAGTCATTTACATACAGAGAGGGAAATCGGGAGGTGCTCAGAGAGGGAAAGGGAACGTGGCACAGAGCAGAGAAATGGAGACTTGTCAAACACTGAGAGGTGGAAACACAACAGAATGGGAGGGAGGATGGAAAAAAAGTGTGAGATTAACACAGAGAACAAGACGCGGATGTGTCTCACCAGGGGGGGGAGGGGGGGAGGGGGGGGTGGGAAGGAGAAAAATAGTCTATTTCGGTCGTGGTTCAGGAGACATTTGTGCATCCCTGATGATGATGTCACTGCGTTTTGTGTGTCTGTGTGTGGAAGTCTTCCTTTACGACCGACAAAATTCATGAAAAAACACAGCTGACGGAAACAGTGTTACTTTTGGTGAAATTTGGGAGCCTTGAACAGGCTGCAGGCAGCAAAGCGAGTGTGACGCTGGACATGGTGGCGTTTCTTTAAGGGGGCATTTCCTGTCTTTGAAGTGTAGCTGTTTGAAGTACATCCGAGCAGTCAGCGTCTGACCTGCATCAGAGCCCCTCACTTTGGAAACCAGGAGGAAATCTGAAGCTGAACTGTTCAGAGACGTCAGAAATATTCCATTTCTGCTGTAATCATCCTGTTATCGTCTAATTAAGCCTGCGAAAAATTCACATATCTTTTAGTTGTTTTGTTTTTTTATATTCCAGTTGGTGGACAGCAACAGAGGAGGAGTGCCAGTATGCACATGAGATTAAAACTGAGTCTAATTTGAGTTAAATTAGCTTCAGCAGAGGCAGAAAACACAACAATAAGGGACAAAGTGACCTGCAAAGTGAACACAAAGTCTTCCAAAATCAGTTGTGAGCTGTGATCTTTTGCAGTTTGCTCAAACTAATAACACAGAATGATGTGCAGCTGTAAAAAATCAGTGTTTCTCTCACAGGGGGACAGTTTGAATGTGATTGCAACAAAGATTTGGATGGTGAAAGAAACCCACAAAGTAAATCAGCCACAGCATAGTAAGAAAAAGAGCATCTTAGAGGGGTAGAGCCTCTCAGTGGTTGAGGGATTCAGAGGTTAATTAATCCTCAAGATGTTGCACAAAGCAAATTTTAAATGATCTGCTATGCATTTTAAAGAGTCTGAGGCACATTTTGTCCTGGAAGTGACAAAAGAACATTTCCAAGAACTGTTGTTTGTGAACACAATTACAATCCTTTTTGGCACAAACATTTATTCATCATCCAGTTCCATTTTCTAAAACCTGCTACTCATACGTAATAAGTACAAAGGATAAAAGCCAGCAGAGAAAAAATATGGAGACAGTCATCGTTAGTCACTGAACCAGGAGGCTGTAAATAGATGCCAGGTAAAAACAAAACCACAGAGAGGGGTGAAATTACCCGCTGGACAAAACAACCGCTCTCATCTGGAGAACGGTGTCATCTCTACCCCAGCAAAGCTATTTCGGTCCTGTCACACACACTTCTGCTACGTCCTTTGTGGGAATCGCGAGGAAAGCTTATCTACAAACAGCAGAACAACCTGACCACCGAGAGTGTTTGACTTCTTTAAGGCAAAACTTTGAGGAGAACACCAAACATGGCTGCTGCTGGATGGATTCAAATGGTGCTTATAGGAAACAGTCCGCACATTTCTAAAGACAACAGGTTGATGGTTTGAGGGCAACAAATTGAATGTAAAAGCCCCTCTTTGGCTTACACTGTTCTAAGAACAGTCCAACGATTAATCATCAATACTTGTACTAAATCTGAATAATGGTTTATTCTGTTTAGGAGTGGTTCTGCTTCTGGGCTCTGATTTCTCCTCATTGAACTTATTCATATTTCTCTGAGTGTGTAAGCCCATAAGCACATAAGAATTTCAAATGATTATTCCATCAGTTAATCAAGTAATTGGATTTTAAAACCTTTACAAAAACAATACAAACATTGTTTTAACTGCGGAATAGCAGGTGTTAGCTATTCAGCGAGCATCAAGCTGAATAACAGTAGCTAAACGCTAACACCAGCTAACTGCTAACACCAGCTAACGCTACACTTAACCAGCAGTATCTGATTTTCTACATGATACAACGTGCTCTGATAAAATCACCTGTTTCTATTCTGCTTGAGAGAATCAGACCACATCTTGCTGATAGCCGGAGGCGTATTAAGGAAAATATGATAGATGGTAATTACGCTGACATGTAAGACATGTTTAAAGACTCGCAGCCCCACTACAGTTTGTCTGGAAACACTCCCAAAACCATTTTTCTCTGATTTCTCTCCCCGTTGTTTAAGCCGCTTTCCCACATCACATCAAGCTGCTACAAACTCAGTATGTGTTAGAAGTGTTACAGAAATAACTGTCACACTGCAGCCGCTGAGCAGAATCTGTTGGTGGAAATTAAGCGAATCATCGGCAACATGGCTTTTCTGGAGGTTTCTCTTTTAATCAGAGGGGCTCAGTTCAGCTCTACCCCAAACGTAACCACAACCTGAATAAAATTATGCTTATTTGCCAGCTGAAATATGTTTTAAGTAGAACCAGAGATAAGCTGTGAAGCAGCTGATAGGATGATAAGATTATTGGTTTATTTCTGTGTGGATCCAGGATGTTTTAACCTATCCAACCCTGCTGTTCGGGGGGGGGGGGGGGGTCCAGCTCTAAATCGTGTTGTGGGCATGTTTTCTGGGGCAGCACTCAAATGATGACGGCCTCCACTGTCACAGCCTGTTTTTCACCTCGCCTTGTTGGAAACGAGGCTTTAAGGCAAACTGGCTGGCTGTTGTTGCCATAGCGATGCTCCGTGCCGCTGATGATGTTTGAGTGCCGTATGAAAAAAATCTTGAATTAAAGCAGGATGGCGTAATGTGTGTTTACATTCATGTTTTTTTTTTTGTTTAAGTTCAAGAATAGCTCGCTGTAACAGGGAGCTGCGCGTTTTCAGTGATGAGAAAAAAGGTGTAAAAGCCAAACTGGTTTGAGTTGGAACAAATGTTTGTGCCACAGATTTTTTGCTTCATCTGAATGGTTTTAGTGTTTCTGCATTGGGATTTAAAGAGACAGAAGCCAAAACAAAGCAATTATGAACGAGCACATGTGATATTTTCTGTGGGGAATCGTCCTCGTGTGCATATTTTTAGAGTAAAAACTCAAAAGTAGCGTGTGTAGTAAAGTGCTACCTTAAAATCTGACTCGACCGCCTCTAAACTCCTTCCGTTATTGAACTGACAGCTTGATGCTGCAGAGCATGTTTTTCACCGTCTGCACAGACTCAAAGCCCAAATTTAAAAGACAGTGTCTCTTTGCTGCTTAGAGATCATGAAGGCTAACATTGAACAGCAGTTATTGTTGTTTTTCTGGACTATTTTCAAATCCGCGACTTCTTTGTTTACGTATTTATCTCCAAACTGCTGCGATGCAACTTTTTTCAGGGCAGAGTTAGACTATTTTGATGATGCACAAACACTTTCAAATGAACATTGTATGAATCCGCTAAAGCCTCTATGTGTAGGCACGACTGGCCTTAAGCTTGTGACCAACTAGAGAAAATGAGCTCATATTATATGTGTTGTGGGCCATTCTGAATTTTTGGCAAAGCAGCTTGAATGTTTGTGAGTGGGCTTAATTGAAACCATTTTAATTAATTAATTTCTTAGAGGTCGGCCTTTTTTGTCTAAGCCGGTATTTTCTCAGCATCCTTTGAAATCACACTGTGAAAAAGCTTCAAGAAGCAGTGAGAAAAATCTAAATTCCTCTGTTTTCGGAGTCTGTAGCTGCTGGGTTGTTTTATAATCTGAGGATTTATTGATGAAGTGGCTTCAGCAGCAGCTAATTCCTGCTCCCTGTGCACCGCTCGGCTTTTGATGACCCGTTTAAACCAGAATGGAGAGTTCTTATTGACTGGCTGTCAACAGCTTTGAGGTTTACAGCCATTAAGAGCCTCTAAATCCAGCCCGCTCTCTCCTGGTTGACAGACGAGAATGAGAAACAGCCTCCTGTCGGATCTGATTCAGAATCAGATCCTCACTGAAAATCCAACTATTTATCCCACATCTCTGAAAAATTCACCGTAATTAATCCATATTTTTCAAACACGTGTGCACGGTTCCTTTAATTTGTGCACTAACTGACTGGCGAGCTCAGTCCTTGCCTTTATTATAAGGGCTTTGATTTAGTTGGGAACATTTTCTCTTTCAGATGATGATGAAATACGCAACTTTAAGAAAGAAACGGGCTCTTAAACGCTTCCTATTCCTTCCAAAAACATGGCTTTTGCCACCTGCTCACATAGTACATGCTAATGTTGTGAACAGACGCCTCCTCCTTCTGCGTATTAGCAGATTTACATACAGGAACATGAGCGCAGACTCGCTCCTGATTCACAGGCTAACTCGCAAACCACAACCCTGATGGGCAGGGGCACAAATCTTCAAACATGCACCTTCCCCGCCGATTGATTTTGAGTCACTCCACATAATCTGGTGGATTCCCAATCGCAGAGTGACATCTTTTCTCGTCCACGCTGTCGCTTCCACGCACACACAGAGGAGGCCGCGCGCAGAAACACACCAGCGGTGCTCAGTCAGACTTACTGAGGCTCTAATCCTAATCTCCAGGAGGAGGAAGTCTCTCCTGTGGGCTGCGGGAGCTGCAGGAAGGCAGCGCTCCTCGCTTTTTTCACTCCAACACGAGGAGACAGCCCGTTCCTGCTGATGCGCTGGTTTGAAAGGAAAAAGCTTATTCAGAACTAATGCTTAATATTTTCAGAGCTTTGAAGAAACACGGGGGCCCAATCGAATTTGCTGAGCAGGGGGAAATCTTTCTAGGAGACATTCGGAGGCTGAAAAGAGTCAACGATCACAGGTGGAAGGATCCGCTGCACAGTTCTGCTTTCCCCCGATGCTCCAGGTGCAGAGATCTGTTTGAAGAGGTTTACACTGTATTCAGAGGACACAAGTCCAGATCGGAGGATTTTGAAAACATTATCTCTTTGTGTTTAGGAGATATCAGTGGTAGCTTTACACAGTGTAAAGGTCCTCCATGCCCAGAACATGAAGGATTTCCACAGACTCCCTGAAACGTTCCACAGTTCTTTACAGTCTGACTGAATATTTCTCTGATGAAGTTTGGCTCAAAGCGAGTCCAAACCAAACCTCCGGTGGAGGCTCCTTCTACACCCAGTCGTGGCACCCTCACCTCACACTTTTCAGTGAAACATGTCTGTTTTTTTTCCTTTTCAACTTGTTTTCATCATTATTTTACACCTTTTGACCGAAAAGGAGCAGTTATGACAGATTATAACAATATAAGTCCGTTTTTCTGTCACTCATCAATAAAAAATATACCATGTAGGACTGTATTAAGATATATTACATTAAATTTATTTATGTTTCATTAACCCCTTAATGTCTGCAGGTTTTGACACTGTTTTAAATTGTTATAAATTATCCCCAAAAGGAAAAAACCCTTTGGATTCTCATGGGACAGATAGGCTTGAAAGCAAATGCACCAATAGATTTTGTACGTACGTTAGTGACAATAAATTCAGGTGCAGATGCAGATTTTACCACCTTAAAGTCCAGCTGAGGTGAGGGTGAGAAACTTTTGCCTCTAACTCTTCTATGGCTGATGCTCAGTGAGCAGTAGTGGAAATAGTTTAAAGGCGTTTTGTGGCTCTCTGCTGCTGCTCTGACAGCACTGATTCACTTCATGATTCAGAATGCATTTGCCTGTTAAACTGCGTGTTTGGGAGTTATATTTAGTCTCCTTACGTGGGGTAGTTACTGATGGCCAAAAGCAACAAAGGGTTGGAGACGGAGCGGCTTCATCTCCCACTGTCACCAAATCCACAGCCATTACACTAATGATGTCACCACAGAGGGCATTAAAGGGAAAAACCCGCAGCAGGAAACACGTGGAGATCACAGGAGGAGGATAAAATGGACAGAAACAACAGAAAAAGATTCAAAAACCTGTCTGCCTTCTTTGCTGTGCCCGCGCTCATTAAAGCAGATACTTCTGACTTTTACCAACAAACGATTCACTGCCTCTTTTCAGCGGAAATGAGTTTGTTTGGAAAAATATTCAGAAGCACTTTCAAATCCATCCCCAGAAACAGTCAAAAAGTTTAGTATTCATCAAAAAAGGAACTTTGTGCTTTTAAAGAATAGATGCCTAGATCAATGTATTTCTTAATTATCTGCTGCTTTTGTGTATTTTAATTAATAGTCAGTTAGATCTATCACTGGAGCCTGAAAATGTCAGGATTTGTTTAAGAAAATATCTCAAAATGCTCTTTTCTACTTTTGACTTTGAATAATTTGTTTTCTTTTTCTATTGTTAGCTTGTTTCGATATGTATTTATTCTCTTTACTTTAATAAAGCATGTCCTATAAGCATAAGGGAGGAATCCTTAGAAACCTTTTTGGCTCTATTGCTAAATGCTTTGTGTTGTTGATATTTTGAGTCGTGCGCATGACTGATCGTTCCACATTTCAATGGTAAATGTGGCCGTGGGGAGTAAAAGCGAAAGGGGACTCGAGACCATCAGAAACAATCTGAGAAATGCTCCGACGTGTTTGTCCACATTTACACAAAATGTGCTACAGCATCTGGAATCTGCTCTTTCATCCTAAACCCCTTATCCTCAGTTTTCGGTTTTCTCCCCTGCCTTCACATGACCCACCTTTCTTTATTAAATCAAAGTTATTGTTACACAAGACTCGATGGACTCCAAACAAAGCCGGGCGGAGGTAGATAGGGCCATGGGGATGTGGAGACTCCTGGTCAGAGGAGGAAAAGCTTGTCACCTTTAATCTGGTGTTGTGTTTGGCTTGTTTTTCCTCTGTGTGTCAGCATCTGTGAGTCTTCATGATGTAACCCCGAGGTTAACTCTGTTAAAAATGCACCCCTGTGTGGCCAAAGGGATGTCGTGCCGTTTTATTTTTCCTCAATTTGCCCATAAAAAGCAGAAAATTGTAGCCTCACTTAACCGAACACGTCGTAAACTGAATTTCTGTTTGCTCATGGCTCAATGTTTAATATAACAAATGTAATGCATGGTGACAGTTTTGGCCCTTTATTAAGCCGTGTCTGTGCTATCTCTTAAAGAAGAGCCCAGCTGGGTCTTCTGTCGAATCAGACCACAAATGCTCTGTTAAGCAGAGAAAATGAGACGTCCAGCCAGGCGCCCACTGTGGCCCGAATGTGGAGGAAAATGAACAGAAACAGAAGAAGCCATTTAGGTGGTCTTCTCTTTCCCATACATGACTTGATGTGCATCAGAGGGGGTGGGAACACTGGTTATAACGGATCCCCGCCTCGCGCTGCAGCCTCACGGCCTCCAGCACGCAGATGACTCCACCCAGTCCTGCCTCGCCGCTCTTTTCCTCCCTGCCATCTGGCAGAAGGTTCAAAGCATACGGCCTTCCCTGCCAGCCTCTTCCCCCCGGCCCTCCGACTCCTCAACAGGACCAAAACAACCAGCAAACACAAGTCTGCCGCCTCTCTTTGTCTGCACAGTTCTGCATCTTTTACACGGATAAACCAGGAGGAACGAGCCGGATAAAAATCGGCTTCATTTGACTGGACTTGAACATTCCTGCTTTAGGGGGATGCAGGTCTCACTTCTTGGTCCTCCTGCTTCTTGCTATTGCCTTTTTTTTCCAATGGGAACAATTCTACATAAATATAGGAGCTTGTTCCATTTATATACCGACAACTGTCGAGCTTATCTAACCACCCTATCTAAATAAAGTCTTATTTTTCTGAATTGGAGTGAATTTTTTCCAGTTTTGTGTTGTGGATGTCCACCACAGCTGTTGTTGTTTCCCTCCTCAAAGTTCACTTCTCGTCTCAACCACTCCTCCCTCTGCTGGATCAGAACCATGAGCATCTTTTCTTATCAGTGCACTCTGCGTTTACTCTGTTTGAGGAAGTTTAAGGTGATCGGGATCAAAAGTTTACATTCCAAAAGGCAGAGAATCTGTTTAAGAAATCTCCAGGTGGACCAAATGAAACTGTTCATGCTCTAACTTAACTTTGATCAATCCCAGGCTTTAAAACGCTACAGTTTTCAAAACATGACCCCCTCTAATCTCTCCTTCTACAGGTTGGTATCGACTTCACAGCGTCCAATGGGAACCCTCGAGAGCCGTCGTCCCTGCACTACATCAACCCTCTGGGCAGCAACGAGTACCTCTCTGCCATTCTGGCTGTTGGACAAATCATACAGGACTATGACACGTGAGTACAGACTTCTCACTTGTGATCACTCTTTGAATTTGCTGACAGGTTTTTTGCAGTTTTCTGGATCTTGGTCAAACCTTTTTTCATGAGTCATCCTGGAATTCAGTGTTCAGCTGCTCATTTCTTCACGTTTCTTCTTTAAAGCCAGATGGGTTTCTGTAATATTTCACAAAGACTTTTAGGAATAGTTATTCAGGCTTCCTAAAGAGCAGATTTTACTTTTTGATATTTAGGAATTGGCTGCTCTTTGTACTTTTCAGGCAGAAAAAAGGCCCCTAACTCAAGGGATGAGCCAGTGCTGTGTCCAATCAGCAGAGCAGCAGCTTAAAGTGGATCTTTAGGCTCTTTGTCCGCAGCAGCCCGTCACAGAGACACATCATTTGTTCCATTTCTGTAGCCGATGAGAAAAAGGCCAAAGAAAACCCAGTCTGACAGACAGGAAACAGGATTTGTGAGGGTTCCCAAAGAGCTGCTGGTTGAAAACTGGGCAGATCTCAGCCTGGTGAGCAGTGAGTCCATAAAACATCTGAGGAAACTGGACCAGTGGAGGACAGAAGAAGAAGAGCTGGGCCTGAAAAACTCTCTAATCCAGCAGATGAAAGCGTCCCTCTGGAAGAGCAGCATAATTGAAGCAGAGTTAAGGTCCTTTAAACAGAGAAAAAAATTGTATTGTTTCCTGTATTCACATAGAATTGCATCTTTCAATGAATCACTGGATCTTATCAATATTTTAAGTTCAGTTTTGTGAACTAAAATATTCAATTTTTTTAGTTTATGGGGAGTTTTATCCCTACTGCTCCATTTATCAACAGCGATGTACAAGTAATAGTCGAAATTAGCCGACATATATTTAGGAAGTTAGAAGTGGGGAGGAAATCCTGAAATTCTGATGGAATCGCGTTTATCAGTTCTCAAACTGCACATCTTAATCTCCAGAATCCCTGCAGTGAAGGAAGACGTCACACAGCTGGTTTCTCTTCCTCTTCTGCTTGATCGAGTTAATTCTGTCAGAGAGTGACAAAATAATGGAAATTTTTTATCAAACTGTACACAAACTCTTTTTTTGGGCTTAGAAAAAGCTCCATTTTGTGCTTTCTATTCGTGCTGTTCCTATCAGATCCATGTCACAGCTTTTTCTCTGTTGTCACAAAGCGGCTCGTATGAGAGAGGACGACCTGCTAACGTTTCAATCTGTTGTCATGGTTTCCTCCTCAGCGACAAAATGTTTCCCGCTCTGGGATTCGGAGCCCAACTCCCACCCGACTGGAAGGTGAGTCTGAGACGCTGGCGTGTGCGTTGGGTTACACACACAGACACCAAACTGTAGGCCTCGCACATGCATATTCAGACCATTACGCAAGCGTCAACCCATCGCCGTTGCCATGGCGTCGAGCTGATGAGAAGGACAAAGGAGCGCACGGAGATGTGAAGCGAGCGGGAGGGAGAAGTGCATGATTTTATGGTGTTTTGTTGGAGTGGTAACATATCTGTGAAGATCCTCAGTCATCCAAGTCCTGGTCAAGAGTGGTTTCTGTCAGATCTGAAACCCAAACCACTCTGAAAGGTAGTTACTGACCTATCAGAGCCCCCTAACCACCACAAACCCCCCCAGGTGACCTCCATGGCCCCCAGCAGGAGGGACCAGAGCCACCTTTGGTTTCCCCCAAATTCTTTAGTTCCACTTACAGTATATTAACTTCAGAGCTCCACCATCAGTTAGAGCTGAAGAAGCTTCTTGGATCAGAGGCAAAACGTCTTCACCTCCATCTGCCTTATCTGGACATTTGAAGCCTGTTTTTTTTGGAGGTTGAGCGTTAACTGAGTGTCTTGTTGTCTCTGTAGGTGTCGCATGAGTTTGCCATCAACTTTAACCCCACCAACCCGTTCTGTTCAGGTGAGCTGGTGCCGCATCAGGACCCGCCTGCAGCCTTTAGTGGCTGTTTCCCATCATGTAAAAAAACACTCAATCTGAGTGTTATTTTTAAGTGGAAGCTGTTGTTTTAATGACTGTGTTGCCTGACGGTTTAATGATAACCTGTTATTTCATATAATGCTTTTTATTTTTAACACTCTGATTTAAAAAAATTTCACCAAAAAGTGTAAATTCAGCATTGCTGCAAACTTTTAACTAAGAGGGACAAGGGATTGTTTGCAGAATATATGTAGTTTTTAACTATACATACAAATGTGTAGTTCAATTCAAAGCTAATAGAGTTTATTGATAATTGATAATTGATAATCCCATCCAATCAAATCCATTTAGTTCACCCAGTTCATACAAATAAAAAAACTAAAACAGATCTCACAGAAACTTTCTAAAGCCCTGTGAGGTGACCAGTTAACTGAGATTCAAGTTTCCTCCATCCAGGGCTTTTTAGGTCAACTTGTTATTATTCAGACCTATTCTACTGAATTATGCTACTACCAGAAAAAACCCTTATAGCCTATTTTGTTCATAAAAAATGGGGGGGGATAGTTTTTGTGTCATATGCACACATTACACTGATAGTGTTTATTACACGTGTTGTTCTGTCCTGAATCAGCAGCGTTTATGTAAACGGTAATGCATTCAATGCCTGACAGCTAAACGCACATTTTAGAGCCCACTTTCCATTTACTGCTAACAGGTGTCCTCGTGTTTGGTGTTTGGATCTTTGGCCAACTCCCTTTGTGGTTTCACACAGTTTCCAGTCTCTCTAATAAACACCATGCTGACGAGAATTCATTGAAGTGTTGGACTGTGCACTCGGTTTAAAAAGAGCTCAGGCGTTATGCTCCCCTCTGACTGAGTAAATATCGCTTTAACACATCACCTACACGCGTTAATCTGGACATTTGTCTACAACTAGCAGCACGCCGGCTCGTGGCATCATGAGACTACACAGCTCCGGGGTGCCTCCATCACCTCCAACCGTTATCTCCCTCTTTCTGGAGACAGTTTTCCAGCTGACGTCGTTTTTGGGTCCAGCGTTCAGATTTAAGCTTTATGTGTTTATCTGTAATGCACAGTGTGCGTCCACCAGCCCTGGGATGTGTGTTTGTGTGGTACAGCACCAGCCAGGAACACGAATTCGGCCTAGTGGGCAGACCTGGAGCTTTGTCTTTGATTAAGCTAACAGGGAAAACATGAAAACTCCCCAAAGAAAGGCCCCAGGGATTCAAAATTTGGTTTGTGTGTAAATGGCTGCTCTGCCATCAGCTGGGTCCGGTTTGTGTCGCATTCAGATGATGTCATCAGACATCAACAGGAAACCAACTAAACCAGGTCTAAAGAGACTCAGGGGGGTGGATCTTAGTGGGCTTTTAAACACAAAATGAACTAATGTGAATCCAAACCTGTGACTAAACGCAGCAGGGTCCCAGTCTGGCTCTTTCTCTGCCTGCTGTCACCTTTTCTAACCGCTGTCTACCCTCCGCAGGGGTGGAGGGCATCGCCCAGGCCTACTCCGCCTGCCTCCCTCACATTCGCTTCTACGGCCCCACCAACTTTTCTCCGATCATCAGCCACGTGGCGCGCTTCGCCGGCCAGGCGCTGCAGCAGGACAAGGCAGCGGTGAGCCACAGCCCGAGCAGAAAATCATGGTCAAATGTACAGAGTACAGAGGAATCTGAGCTGGTATCCAAGGGAAACAGGACAGTTTAGATATCTCACTTGTATACGGCACAGAAAAGGTTAACATGTTATGTTCAGGTGTTTTTAGACGACTATGTCTTTAAGTGTCTGTAGAAGAAGTAGCTTCAGGGTGGAGACGTCCTTATTTAGGAGGGAAAAACTGTTCAGGTGCATGGTGGTTCTGGTCCTGATGGACCTGAGCCTGACCCTGATGGGGGGGTGTGAACAGGGCATCCCTCTGCTGTGATCTTCCATGAAGCCATTCGACCTATAAAGGGCCCTCATTCTGTTTGCTGTACGCTTAACATGCATTTAGCTGCTAAACCTGTATTTCTAAAAGCATTCAAAGGCCAAAAGTGGAGCTGAACTAGCTGCCTGTGCCGGAAACGTGTAAAAAGAGCGCACGCTCACACCTTCAGATGCTTTTTTTTCTCTGTGAAATCTGTGAAATCCACCCGAGACGTGTGAGGAAGAGCTGAATTTACAGACTTTGGGCAAATCGTCCACATCCAGTGGCGCGTCTCCGGCTTCTGTCTGAGCAGAGCGCGGAACTGGGTATCATTATGCTCCCACGGTGCTTTTTGTCCCCTAATTGTATCCTGTCACCGCGTGCAGAACAAAAACACACAAAAGGATGGAGCTCCTCTGTGTGACGGGTGCCAGGGTCCTTTTGTTTCTGCGAGGAAGTGGTTTTTTCTCTCCCTGGATCGCAGAGTTCACGGATGAGTTCATGCTGAGGCGCGTGTGCGTGGGAAGGTTTGGACCTCCAGGCGGCACTCACGCGCCTCCGCGTCCCGGTGGAGGCACGAGTTCAGGTTTCCTGCACCACTAGAATTCAAGCAGCTTTTTGCTGCCCAGCCGACCAACAGAAATCCTCCCAGTTTTAACAGGAGGAGAAGCTGAAAGCAGAAATCTCCCTTTCAGAGATGTAAAGGGACTTTACATCCTGTTTGAAAACACTTTTTTCCCCCTGTCTGGTTATTTTCTGATCCTGTTTTTTGTCCTGTATCCTTTCCTCCAACTCTTTATCTGCTCTGTTTTTAAAGAGCTTTGATAAAGTTGGATGGAATTAGATGTAAAAAAAAAGGCAAAACTGTTCGATTCCATTCAGCGTTCTCTCAAGAAGTCCATCTGTCTGCAGCTGTTATGATATAAAGGTGTAAAAAGGGGGGGGGGGCATTTTTAAAAGGGGGACATTTCCCCCCCCCCCCCCCCCGTTCCCTCCCCCTGTGCAGCAGTACTTCACCCTCCTCATCATCACCGACGGCGTCATCAGCGACATGGACGAGACGCGCGACGCCATCGTCCAGGCCTCCAAGCTGCCCATGTCCATCATCATCATCGGCGTGGGGAACGCCGACTTTGCCGCCATGGAGTTCCTGGACGGAGACGCCAGCGTCCTGCGCTCCAGCGCGGGGGAGGAGGCCGTCCGGGACATCGTGCAGTTCGTCCCCTTCAGGGATTTCCGCAATGTGAGCGTCTCTTCTGCCCTCCATGTAGCCACGACAATGAGGAAACGGCCTTTACTGGCACCACACAGGTCAAAGGTCAGGGAGTCAGGAGATCCAGAGAATGATCACACAGAAGTTTAACTCAGAGCTGGAAACTCTGAGGGACTCAATAACCAGAGAAGCTGTCAGAGAGGAGAGAAAAACCAGCAGAGGAAGAGTAGAAGCTGCTGTCAGAGCAGAGAGATGAAGTTTAAGCTGAGTCTGAGAGGAAAAAGAGCCTTTAGCTGCTTCTATTTGGGGTTTAACTCAGAAATAACTCAGATTTCTAAACTAAATAAAGATGTTTTGTTATTTTGTGTTCATTAGAAACTACTAGAAACGAGTTAGAGTTATAGTAGTATAACGAGTTACTTAATATATTAAGATAACTTCAACTTAACAGATGGAAAAAGGAAAAACTGATCAGGTCAGTTTAGTTAAAGCTGATTTACGATTACAAACTACAAGAAAGTCTGAGGAAAACAACCAGAGGAAGAATGGAAGCTGAGAGGGAAGAGCAGAGAGATGAAGTTTAAGCTGATTCTGAAATAAAAGGAGCCTTTATCTGCTTCTGTTTGGGGTTTAACTCAGAATTAACAGAGAGCTTTAGTTTAAACTGATTTTTGAATGTGTAAAACACTGAATGTTGAACTAAAGGAGCTCAGAATCGGCCGGTCTGGGCCCACTGGAGGGCTCCTTCACCTGGGTTTTTTTTTCTTTTCCGTTTCAGGCCCCCAAGGAGACGCTTGCCAAGTCGGTGTTGGCTGAGCTGCCCCAGCAGGTCACTCAGTACTTTAAGCAGAGGAATCTGCCGCCCATTAACCCGGCGCCGGAGTGAGCCCCCCCGGGGCTCCACGCGCTGTACAGAAGCTTCACCGGCTCCTCGTCGACGGTAGAGCGGGAGCACAGTGTCTGAGTCAGCCTCCACAAAGAAAAAAGAAGAAAAAAAAAACAGAGGTGGAGCGAAAAAAACAAAGAAAAGAAAAAAAAACACCGTTGCCATTTTATGTGTTGAGTTTTCCTGGTCGGCCCCCCATCTGGAGCCCGGAAAACGCCTCCATCCCCCAGGATGCGGCCCCTTTCTCAGACTTTGGCTTTTTTTTGTTGCTTTTCTGCATGTGTGTGTCTTGTGATGGAGGCCGTGTGACGCTTACAGCTCCCTCCTGCAGAGACCTGAGTCTGAGGCTGAATCCCCTCCGGACGTCTGCGACTCCTATACTGATGGAGGCAGTTTGCTGGATTTGGATGAGAGAGAGGAGCTGCGACACCCGTCCAGTCGGAGGAGAGAGGCGATGCCGATGGAGCACAAACACAGGCTGGATGCCGCCGTCTGCCCCCAGAGCTCTTTAAAAAACCCCATCTGTTTTTCCTCGACTCCATCCTGCATGTTTACCGTTTACAGGCTGATGCTGACCACCACAAATGCATGTTTTTTTTAACTGGGAAATTATTGACCGGATGTAAATAGTTGAGAATCTGCTAAAAATTAAAGTAAATATCAGAAAAAGGAAGAAAAACTGGTGAGTTTTGCTGATCGGAGAAGTTTCAGATATGCATATATCGAATGTATATTTCTATGATGCTGTTTTATGTAATGATAAATTAATGTTTTTGCCATGTTTAATGTACTTTCTATGCGGTGCTGAACAGTGTAATTAAACTATTGTGTATTGATGTGCATATTTGTACCTAATGTGTCTCTATTGATTTTATAAAAATGTGTTTATGTCGACACTTAATAAAGTGAATGAAAAGTAACAGTGGCTGTTTATTAAGCAGAAGCTAAATAAGCTTGAGAGGCTAAAACGACCAAAAAACACTGAAAAATGAAGAAGAGCTTCAAAGAGACGCAAAAATAATTCAATGAAATGCAAAATGTTTTGTGATGAGAAGTTAAATTAACACAAAGAGACACAGATTAATGGAAGGAATGAGCTGAAATAACACATTATTTTAAAAGTATCACAAACTGATGATAAGAAGACAAAATGAGACCCTAATTTAAACCTTGTGAGTCCTTTGTTCATTCAAGACGATGGAATAAATGTTTACAGTAAATATTTTTCAGATTCAAAAGTATAAAAGAACGCTTCATGAGTTTTTAGGTTCAAAATTATGCAAAAAAACGGCCTCATGGTTTGTATAAAGTCCCAAATAGATATGAGAGGGCCAGCAGATGACCTTCTGAGAAGCAAACAGAGCAGAGATGCAAAATAACCTCAACACTGTGAGATTTGACCAATGAAAACAAACTGATCAAAGGTTTCGGGAAGCAGCAGAGAAATGCAACACGGGGAGCAAAAAGGAGCATCAAACTCTGGCAAATAAAACACCTCCAAACTCCCACTCTGTGTCACACATCTGCTTTTAAATCCAGCGAGTGAGCACGTCGGGTTTGCCTGCGCTGAAGAGATACTGAACAAGCTGCTGCTGCTGGGTACAGTCTGTGGGAAGAGGGGCTTCACTCAGCTCCAGGCATGCCACACAAACATGACGGGGAGCAAAAAGCCCTTCAAACCGCCCTCAGGAAGCTTTCCGAGCTGCTCCCTTTGGCACAAAGTGCTGTGAACTTTTGGAATAACAGGCTTCTGCTGACAGGTCTCTGTTACCTTTGCCTCCGCGCTGGTTTTCTGTCTTTTTTTCTGTGTGTGTGTGCGCGCGTGTTACTCTTATTTTTGTTGTCAAGGCAACTCCCTTCGCAGCTTCACCAGAGAGGCTGGGCTCCATCAACCAGTTCCACCCAGAAAGCTGCACAGGAACCGCAAAGCTGACCTGAAACAAGAGAAAATCAGAGCAAACAGCAGAGAAAAATCAGCCACCCACCAACCAGTTTATCCACTTATGTGAATCGCAAACTGAAACCCGTTCAGGTGGAATTCACCTTTACTGGCAACCTGTTTTCTGTTATTATCAATATTCATCTCAATCAGTGAGCTGAGCTCAGCTGCAGATGCTCGGCTCCACTGCCAAAGTCTAAATGAGGACTGAATGTGCATCCTTTAATCCAGTTATCTGAATTTGTTTTTGTTCTTGTCCAATTTTGCACATTAATTTTACGGCAGCTGTTTGTGTGGCTGGGAGCTGCAGCTGTGCAGAACCGGCTCTTAAATCCCGTCTCCAGAGACAAACAGGACGACAAAAACAAAGACTTCAGTGTCGTTTTGGTGTGTAATCAATCCACAATTAAAACACTTCAACCTTCCGTTTTTCACACGTACACAAATAGACAAAAAACATTCAGATTCCTGCCCAGTTTTTGCAGGTTTGCTGATGTGAGGTTTAGCCATAGTTCTGGTTCCGGTGGAGGTTTTTTCTTCTCACAGTCACCTCGTGCATTTTCAGGACGGGTTGTTTTAGCATGATTGGACTACCAGCTTCATTAAGTTTCCATATGCTGCTTTAATTACAGAACAGATTCCCAGGACTTGTCCAGGTGACAGAAACCACACTTAAACACACCATAAACCAAAGCTGTCTCATACAAATCAACGAAGCCTCTGAAATTTGTAGTAAAGAGAAAAGGGCTGAAAATTGCCATCAAGCCCCGCTTTAACAGTTACACAGAACTCACAAAATTTACTTGTAGTAACGGAAAATCTGAAAGCTAAGATCAGGTTAAGAAAACAGCAAAACATTTTGGAAACTGTCCAGTTTTTGTCAGGTAAATCGCTGTGCTGCCCTCTAGTGGCCATTCACCTGTATGACAGCTCCAGCCAAAGAAAAGGTGAGGACTGGTGGTTGAACCTTTGGTGCCCCCTCACCGTCTCTGGGGGCTCACGTTGGCTCTGTGCAGCCTCTGCTTTTACATCACAGAAACAGGGCGAACAGACCAGAATGAAGCCAGAATTAAGGGAAACAGGGAGCCGGCAGGTCTGAAGCTGCTGTACCGCCCAGCAAATGGAGTGACACAGTTCTGAGCGGCTAAGAAAAGCAGAGCAGAGAGTGACACAGATAGAGCTCCTAAAACAAGAACTGGGGACGGACGGAGCTCAGGAGGTGTGAAATAGGGTGAAAATGTGGACAGAGGGCAAAAGGGGGCCCGAGCGCCAGCTGGCAGGCTTCATTAAACAAACCCGTCACCTGCGTATTTGTGTTTGCATCATGTTCAGAGTGGCAGCAAATTACTCCATAAATTGTCTCTGCAGCCAGCAGCGTGTGATCCTGTTTCCACGACAACCCATTCTCCTCTCCAGCCGCAGGATAACCCTCACTGCTCGACCTCCGCCTGGCAGCACAGGCGAGCGGGTGAATAGACGAGGAGATTTTCTGAGGGCATGTGAGGTGTTTTCAGACCAGGGAGCCGCGGTTCGGCTCCAGAGCCCCAAATCACTGCACACAGATGGTCTTTTGCAGGGATTAGCTCAGTTTATAAATCGTAATCATGCATGTGTGGAAGCTAAGAAAAGGGGAACTACAGGTGTGCCCTCTGATATCTATGTCTACTGAAGAAGAGATTGAAAGGGGTGTGAAGTGAAATGAAAACATTAAGAGGTTCAGGGTGTATCTTGGATCTGGAACAGATGGGACAGGATCCAGAATAACGATAGAAAGTAGAAGCTGAGAACAGGAAAACAATCATTTCGGTGCAAATTATCAGACTTGTTTAGCTGAGCAATGACTCCCCAGCTCTCTGAAGCTCTCTCAGAGTTTGTGTGTGGACATTTTCTGCTTTTTCTCGCATTTTCAGTACTTTTTGCTGAGTGTTTTCAGAGGAATGTTTTTCTTTAAGCCACTTAATTCTGAGCTCTGAATCATTCAGTCAGAAAAAAGCCCCCTAACTCAAAGGATGAGCCAGTGCTGTGTCCAATCAGCAGAGCAGCAGCTTAAAGTGGATCTTTAGGCTCTTTGTCAGCAGTAGCCTGTCACAGAGACACATCATTTGTTCCATTTCTGTAGCTGATGGAGGAAAAAGGCCAAAGAAAACAGTTTGACAGACAGGAAACAGGATTTCTGAGGATTCCCAAAGAGCTGTGAATAAAGAAGCTCATAACAAATATTCACTTTAGAGCTCATTGGAACTAAATATTCATGGTTTCTGCGTCATATCCCATATTTGTATATAAATCATTAAAACCCTTACAAGTGCCCATCTCACATGTTTCTGTCTCAATATAAAGATCTGGGGAAAAAAGATGAAAGGCTTTTGCTTTATGTTTGAGTATCGGCTTTTGTGTTGGTTAACTTCATATGAAAAACTTTATTTTACGTTGGCTTTGAGAAGCACGAAAATTGTAAAGAGTTAAATCTTTTACATAATTGAAATAACTGCTAAGCTTCCAAACATCTCCTGTTCTTGAGGCGCCATCTTGTGTCCAAGTTGCTCTTTCACAGTAATTTATAACAAGATCAACCTTGAAAGCAGTCATTGATTTTTCAAACTATACAGACGGGCAAGCAAATTATCTGAATTAATTCTGTGACATTGACAACCCCATGTATCGATTAAGGTGTCAGTATTATTGTATTAGCCTATTGATCCTTGGGTCCTGGGGAAAAAAAACGACTCAAGATTATTTATTAATTTATTTACCTATTCGTTTAAATTTGTGAAGCTTTACTCTATGTTTCAAAACTCGATTTTGCACATACTAATTTATGCTAATATAGATAGATCAATAAAAAGAAATGTTTTTGAAGCGGTGCCACTGAAACTGCGGAGGGGAACAAAAGTTCCCGCTGAACGATTTCGCACGAGCAGTTTTCTATGTAACGCACGTCATTATTTGGAGCTGTTTGCTAGCTTTGTGCTCGGTAAGTTTGAGTGACACAGAAAGAATCACACGTAACATGAAATTGTCCAGCACCAAAGCTGGAACCCCCCGGACCCTTTCTTTCGTGGGTATTTGTTACCAGACAGCTCTTGTGTCGCGGTGCTTCGTGAAGCTAAAGAGGCTAATGCTAGCCGCAGGGCTGCAGCTCTAAGCTCCCGACTTCCCCTTTCGTACTGTCGTCAGTTGAACAAATAGCTGCGGGGTTTTTGTGCATTTAGTCCAGATCGTCTCCTGCTCCAGAGGCTGAATATTTGTTGTGTCTTGTATTTGTCGTGAGTCGAGAAGCGGACCAATGGGGCCGATCAGACCTGGAAGCTTCTGTTTGTCTGCATCATTTTCTGTTACCAGTGTTAATCTCTGTGTCAGTGATTTAATTCCCCTTTCTGTTCAGTGGACGCGATTAGAACCAGTAACGTCAAAGGTCATGACAGTAAGTTAGAAAAAGGCTGAGCAGGCACGGTGGGTCTGTTTGGGGCTGCAGGAGGAAACAGAAGCTGGCAGCTGGGCTCAGGTCTGAACAGAGAGCAGTGTGGAGGCCAGAAAGCAAACAGCTCAGAGCAGCTGGCAGCACGATGGGGGAGGTGTCATGGTCTGGGCTGCTCCTGCAGCATCAAGACATCCAGCAAAAGCTCCTCTGGACCCCAAAGTGTTTAGATGTGAGACCCCCCCCTCCCACAGCTAAAGCTGGAACCAGCTTCCCAACAGGACAAAGATCCAAACCCTGCAGCAGCATCAGAGAGCTGTACACAAAGCAAAGGGAAAGCAGAGAGGGACAAAACTCCTCCAAACCAGCAGAAAACACCAGTTCAGCTTCTAGCTACTGGATCTTTATTTATCTGTCTTCTTTTGTTCTTTTTTTCTTTTATAATGACACACTTTTCCTGTCTGGATTTAACTTCAGGGTTTAGTTCATCTTTGACTTTTTAGGGTTGTTTTCTTGTGGAAGTCTTCTGGTTTGGCCTCAGACATTCTGTGTCATTTCTTTCTTTCTGGCATTTGTCAAAAACAAAAAATTGAGTCTTGCAGAAGAAGAAGAAATTAACCAGCAAGTAAAAATAACATTTATTTAACCTCAAGTACATTGTTTTTTTACTCCTCTTTTTTAGAACAGCATAATGATTTAAAGGGCTGAAAAATATACTGACAGTTTTAGAATATTTCTGGAGGAGCAGCTGAGAACGTTCTCAGTCGGTCCAAAGAGGAAACGCTGTGAGTAACCGGACAAACGGCTCGTTACCTGCTGTTTACAGGGAGGCTTTAATGGCGGGGGGCGAGGCCACGGGCGTCGACCTCAGCAGGAAGTTTGTCTCCGAGTCGGAGCTCGACGAGAAGAGGAAGAAGCGGCAGGAGGAATGGGAGAAAGTCAGGAAGCCCGAGGATCCCGAGGGTGAGAGCACACTGCGTCCACGGGGACCCGAAGCCCACCAGGGTTCTTTCAGGCTCACGTTTGTTTGTCTCCTCAGAGGCCCCGGAGGAGGAGTACGACCCACGCTCGCTGTTCGAGCGGCTGCAGGAGCAGAAAGACAAGAAACAGCAGGAATTTGAGGAGCAGTTTAAATTCAGTGGGTCCTTAAAACTCGTTCACTTCTGTTCTAGATCCTTAAAAAGCGCTAACCATTTCTATCTTATCATACTTTTTTAAAGCGTGAATTATTTTTCCCTCCATGAACTAAATTATATCAACAAGCATTGATTTAATTCAAGTTTACAGAAGAAAGTAGAACTATAAGAAAATTAAAATGGCTGCTAAGAAGCGACAAATGTAAAATATTCCTGAAATGTTACAAAAACTTTTTTTTCAGAAAAGCCTCTGTGTAACTTCAATTCATTTTAAAGTAAACAAAAAAGCATGAGCTATAATAATTCCCTAAATTTAACCATTGAATGCAACATTTCTCATTGAGTTTTATCGTTATTGGTAGAAAATTAGACTCGATGACGATGTCTGACAGATGTTTTTCACCCTGGAGCCTCCATGTTGAATCAAACATTAGCTGACGGTGACCCTGAGACGTCTGTAGAAAGCAGGAGCCTGCAGTGATGCTTCTGCCTTGTTTTGAGAGCCTGTTTCCCTGGCGACAGGGAACATGGTGAGGGGGTTGGACGAGGATGAGAGCAGTTTCCTGGACGAGGTCTCCCGGCAACAGAGTCTGGTGGAGAAGCAGCGGAGGGACGAGGAGAAGAAGGAGCTGCTGGAGTACAGAATATCCTTCATCCTGTGTCCAGGACTTCCTGGTGTGACCCCAGGCTCAGATTAGTGGTCCTCATCTGCAGACTTTGTAGAAACCAGAAGAAGTAGAGATTTTTAATGCTTTGTTGCTGGTTTGAGAGGTTGTGTAACAGCCCGGTGAAGCCTCTGTTTGCCCGTGGGCTCCGTCCTGGTTTGTGCTTTGTCTGCCTTGACTCTGTTTGGCCACAGCGCTCTGGTGAAGCATGCGTCCGCAGAGAGCCGCCGGGAGCCCGAGAAGAAGCCGCCAGCCAAGCCGGAGCCGAGAACCAGCCTCCTGTCTCAGGCCCATTTGTTGGCCGGAGCCGTCAAGAGACGCAGGTACGCTCCCAGGCAGCTAACTGGTGCTCTTCCCTCAGAGCCTCCAGCACAGGGGGGCAGCTCCAGGCCTCTCTGGGTCTCTTTTCTCTGGGCTGCTGTCCTGCAGGTTTCAGAGGTTACTCTGCTTCTACACCTGGTTCACATCAACACAACATCAGCACTCCTGTTCAGAGCTGAAGCCTCTTTAGAGGAGATCGGTTTGATCTGGATCAGGTGGAGAAGCAGGCAACCTCTGAAACTTGCAGGACAGGAGAGGAGAGACCCGGAGAGGCCTGGAGGGCCCCACACCTCCTGCTCCTGGGCAGCAGCAGCGTGGAGCCTCTGGCTGTCGGTAACCTTCAGCCTCTCCGCTTTCTCCTCCAGCTCCTCGCAGTCGTCGGACAGCAGCAAAAAACAGAAGGTGGAGGTCTCGGCGCCGACGGCAGCGACAGGAAACGGAGCCAGACGGACAGGTGGGCTGATGCCTCTGTGGGATGGGGGTGGATTTCCCCTACAGCCTCACAGAAGTGATCACTTACTTCTCAGAAAGGCCCCTCAAACACGTGCAGGTCACGACGTCATGTCGGGTTTTGAGACTCATTCCAGCATCCTTTTAACTCTGTGTGGTGCATTCAGGTGCTGCTGTGGGAGTGTATGTTTGTGTGTGTGTGTGTGTGTGTATGTGTGTGTGTGTGTGTGTGTTCTTACAGCCTGTTGTGTTGTTCAGAGCAGGAGGGTGCAGCAGCAGCAGCGGGCGGGGCTGAGGCGGCCGAGGACCAGCGGGCGCCGGCGGCGGGCCCCCGGGGCGGCGCCCAGGGCGTGGTGCACCTGCCGTCGGCGGCCGTGTGCGTGGGCGTGCTCCCAGGCCTGTGCGTGTACTCCGGCAGCAGCGACTCGGACAGCAGCTCGGACAGCGAAGGTAGCGTGGACGCCAGCATGTGGCCGCGGCCCGGCCGCGCCTACAGATAAACACACGCCCGCTCAGAGCGCCGCCCAGGCACACAAACCACACTTTCAAACACTGTTCTGCACCAAATCTGTTGTGATTTCTGTGGCGCCCCAAACGTGACTCCTCCCCCTTCCTTCCCCTCGACCGCATCTCACACAGTTTAAGCCGCTCTGCCCCCCCCCCCCGACGGCGCTCCCCTCCCGCCTGCAGCCACAGTGACTGAAGGCTGAACTGCGGGCTGAAGGAGCAGCGGTTGGCAGCTGTGGAGCGCGGAAGAGGCGGCCCTAGGCGGTCACATGACCCGCTCCTCTCAGCTGCCGGCAGTCGAGCGGGAGCCCAGCACGCTGCGCTGACCCCCCGCCGGGGTCGGCGCAGACTCAGCACGGCTCCAGAAATGTTTCCGTTAGTGAGAGTCCGTGTGTTTGGCCTCCAGCAGCTCCCAGTCCTCGCGGGGAGTCGCTGGACTCTTTGTTTTCTGTATCAGATGTCGGAGTGAATTTTGTTTGTCAAAGTCTGATCGGAAAAATAAATAACTTGCTCCGGTTTTGCGACTTCTGTCTGATTTTTCAACGGGACTGAACATTTGATGCATGAAAAAAACAGAAGAAACAGTAAATAAAAAGGACACTAAATATAAAAGAACACCTGGTTCAACTGCCTCCGAGCTCATATCGCACACCCTCACAGTAAAACTGCTCCATCTCCTCCAGGCTGGACTGTTGACAGCCAAATTTGCACAACTAGATGGATCCTTGGGATGTGATCCCCCTTCAAAATGGTGCAGAGGGTCTTTTTGAAAGTGTCTCTGACTGAATCCTCCACTTTTATTCAACAGTTTCCCTTCATCTACAGAAATTCACCCATCTTGCACTCAAGTCTGACCAGTTTACCAGTCCCCCCCTCCACAGCATGATGCTGCCACCACCGTGTTTCACAGTGGGGCGAAGAAAGCTTTTTTCCTTCATGAGTCCATTTTAAGACCTCAGAATAACTCAGACCAAGACACTGTCTTAACAGATTTATTTTAAATGGCAAATAGAAAAATAAGTGATGTTATCAAAAAGAAACTGCGAGCCCAGTGGAGCTGGTGGCGTCGGAGCCCCTCAGCTCTCTGATGGAGGGGGGGCTGCCTTGCGCACAGCCTTGAGCAGGGCCTGCTGGATGACTGGGTACAGTTTATAGCATCCCTCTATGCAGGTCCGGACTCCTGCTGTCAGAGTCTCCCCGGCCATCTCTCCGTCCGACTGCAGCCCAGAGATCTGGTTCAGACTGGGGAGGAAAGCCACGGTGACGCCGCCCGCATCCTCGCTGCTGCCGCCACAACTCCCGCCGCTCTCCTCCGCATACGTCGGGTCGACCACGTAGGAGGCGCCATCCTGCCGGACAGAGCAGCCCAGCACCAGGTCGTACATCTCAATGCCCGCGTCGGCCAGAGCCAAGGAGGCACAAGTGACGGCATGGGCCAGGACCGAGCCCCCGTTCTCCAGGACCATCACGCTGACCTCGATCTGGGAGCGGGGGTACTTGTGGAGGCACACGGCCGGCTGCAGGCTCTCATAAAGCATCAGCGAGAAGTCCCTGTCCTGGCTCCCCTGGATCCAGGAGCCCCTCTCTGGGCAGGAGAACGGTGCAAAGCGCATGTCGGTGGTCAGTCTGGACAAAGAAAAACACAGAGTCGGCATCTTCTGCAACAGCAATTTTCAGCAATCAATGTCCTCAGTCAGGACTTCTGTTATTATTCTTTTATTAAGTGCCACGCAAATATAATGACTGCTCAAATCAACCATACATTTTTCTTGTTTGTTTGTAAACATGAGGTTTACCTCATTTAGTATACATTTTGTGTCCATCTAGAAGTATATTTGTAGTTTTTGGTCCAATCAAACTCCTAAAAACCTCTTATGATGCTGAACCAACTTTTAGTTATCGTTTGTAGTTCTTTCATTAAATGAACAAAATCCTTATCACAACATACCTCCCGCATTTCATGTCTGTCTCATCTTTCCGCTCTGTTTCTCGGGGACCGTAAACGCAGCTCATCAGCTTGGTGTTTCCAGCCTCAATGTAAGCGGAGCCTTTGGCCTGGCTCACCAGGCCGCAGCGGACAAACACCGGCCGGACGTCCACCTGGTCCCGCTGCCGGCCATCTGCCCTCGGTCCGGAAGACGGGAGAGCCGCCGCGGGCTTGCTCGTAACCAGGGACGGGCTTTGAGACACTTCGGGGCCGCGCACACGCTTCGTGTCAGTCGGCATGCTGAACTGAATGGAACGGTAACGGCAGTGTGTATGCTGGTCCTTCACGAAAATAGCTCCCCGAAGAACTACAGCTACCTTACAACCGTTCCGCAACGAAAATAGTACTATCAACAATAATAACCATGACTTTTAAGTATTTTACCAGTTAAAAAGCGCGAACGCTTCTCCTGATTTTCAGGCTGGCAATCCGCTGATTAATGTGTATTTCAAATAAACAAACAAGAAAAATACGTATAAATACAAGAGAAACAAGGCAAAAATATTAAGGTATTTGTGTAATTTTGATATTCTTCAAATTTGCAAATAAACGCTGTTGATAGTTTGAAATATTTTTGTAAATTTCATAGGTCAAAATACATTTTCAGCAAGAACTGAATACATGGAAGAGGGAAGAAAGGCATGTTGGCACCTGCGTCTTTTCAATTGCATCAGCCAGGCGGGCTCGGTGAAGACCGACATTTTTATTGTCCAATGATAAGCCAGATTTTACGACGTTACGTCATGGTCTGGCCAATGGGCAGCGGGGATGGGCGTGTCCACAGCCTCTGCGCTTCCCTTGAGCCGGAGCAGCGTGGATCGAAGCGGTGTTTCGAGGAGCTGTTACTGGTTCATTATACAGGAGCAGCGACTTATGTGAGTATTACAACCCCTTTTTAACGCTGTTTCAATAAACATAAGCTAGTTTAAAATGAACTGAATAGCTGTCTTTTTGTGTTTGTTTCATGTAGCTTACCAGGCTAACACTTTGGTTTGCTAACGTCAGCTCCCGCTAGCGTCTGTGACCGGCTTGTTGGAGCAGTTAGCTATCCAACAAGCTGTTTGCAAAGCAGAAAGCAAATTTCAGAGGTTCTTTAAAGTTTTCCGGTGCTGTCTGCACGGCTGACACTGTTTTATGGCAATATTTCCATATGCGTGTTGACAGGAGAGGTGCAAAGTGGTTTATGTGAAGCAAATTTAGTCACCAATAAGGAAGAAAACTAGCCTTTTTACGACATGTTCATTTAAGACTTCAAATTAGATTCGAAAGAACACTTGTTCTTAGAATTTATGGCATATTTTGGCACCTGTCAGTGTTTTGTTTTCATTTGGTCTCTGTACACGTTTCTATTTATGATACATGACATCATTTTCTTCCACTTCCATCTGTCAGTTAATGGATACTTTTATTGTGTCTCACAAGTTTCCAACGCAAAATTATTTTTCTGCCTTGCCGAGATTTCCATGCAATAGCACAACATCCTCTTTTGGTTTCCAGATGAGGGGGTTTGTAGTCAGGATGGGGACGCGGCTGTTTGTCATCCGTTTGTTTCCTCCCGAGATCTGAGGGCACAAGCTGTTAGGTTTCCTCTGCGATGGGAATTCAACCCGCAACCTTTTGATTATACACTGGTTAAATGACGCTGTCGTGATTTCTCAGAGTTTTATTTTTTAAATCCCTCATTTATCAGTTGATTTCAAGTCATTTTAGGGGTGTTTAAGGCTTGAATGCTCCATTTAGTTGTAAGTTTCTGAAATTGAGGAACCTTCCAGATGTTGCTTCTTTGAGCACACAATAAGCAGGAGAAACTCAAAGGATCGTCATACGTGAGGAGTGAAATAGCAGCAGATATACAGCAGTGGAAATACAGAGATTGGTTTGCTTTTGTTAAAGAAAATGTTAGTGTTTTTTGAACAGCCACCAGTAGTTTTTAAGTGTGCGATGTGTTGTCGGCACAGCAAGATGACTTAATTATACTGTAGACGTCACGCTTTCGTTTGGACTAAAAAGAGGCTGAGCTCAAATAAACCTGTTTCCAGGTTCAGCTGCCTGAAGTGAAAGTAGCTGAGCTCGCCCCACCGTCCTGGCGTGAAGGCAGCCTTTAACATCTGTGTGTCAGCTCAATCTGGAGCAGAATATCTGAGCTTTGGATCCAGAAACAGGTTGCTAGCTGTGTGAAGACGTTAAACACTGATTTTTTTTTGCTTTGGCTCCTCTTTCTGGATCCCGAACGCTCACCCAGAGCGTTTAACTGGACATAGTTTAACTGTTGTTCGAGGTCTTTTTTTTTTTTCTTCTTTCTGCCTTTTTTAAGCTTCCCTTTGTGCCTTTGTTTCCGTCCAGAGAGCTGATTCACCATGGACTCCTCCCTGAGTGCAGCTCAGATACGCCAGAAGTTCATCGACTTCTTCCGGCGCCATGAGCACCAGTACGTCCACTCATCGGCCACCATCCCGCTGGACGACCCCACGCTGCTGTTCGCCAACGCCGGCATGAACCAGGTGGCCGACCGCTGACTCGGCTTTCTGAGCCGCGCAGCTCACGATAAAATAGAATAAATACTTGATTGATCCCACAGTGGGGAAATTTTGTGTATTTAGTGTTTGGTATAAATCGTTCCACAGCCCAAAAAACCTACAATAACTCCTTAATAAATACTGCATATGATTACTTTCACTACCTGAACTTTACACTTACTTAGTTTATTTATTTGTATTTAATCCTTATATTTAATATATTTTTCTATGACTTCGATGTCATACGCTTTTGTTGAAAATTTACTTCGGCTGTCGAGTCGAATATTTGATCAAATTACACTTCATATGTGGGAAAATTTGTGTGTTTAGACAATCAGAAGTAGAGGCTCTATTGTATTAACAATGCAACTAAATGAATAAAGGCTACCCCCCCTCTCAGTTCAAGCCCATCTTCCTGAACACCATCGACCCGTCCCACCCCATGGCCAAGCTGCGCCGGGCCGCCAACACCCAGAAGTGCATCCGCGCCGGGGGCAAGCACAACGACCTGGACGACGTGGGCAAAGATGTCTACCACCACACCTTCTTTGAGATGCTGGGCTCCTGGTCCTTCGGGGACTACTTTAAGGTACGGTCATGTTTCCCCACAGGCTGAAACGAGGTCTGCTTATCGGCCCTTTTTCCTGTTTTCTGAACCCCGTCTGAGAAGAGGAGGCGATTCATTGTGCTAACTGTTGTACTTTTGGTCAGAAAACGCCTAAAAAGTGACAACAATGTGACCAAAGAGCTGTACAGTGAAACAACAATTAAAGAGAGACAGGACAAGGATAAAAAGATGGGGGTTAAAGGACAGCACAGAGGGGCCAAACAGCACCAGGACAATAGGCCCATGCTGAGAGACAGAAACAAGTTAATGACAACAGTGATGTGACAGAGGGAGGAGAAGTGCATCATGGGAGTCCCTGAGCATCTCTATTATCAGCTTTATCATAAAGAATTACATCGAGACAGGACAAGGATAAAATGATGGTGTTAAACTCGAGTTAAAGTGGGAAAAGAAGCAGTTTAACAAAGAAACTGAGGGAACTTCCCACTCTGGGATTAAGGGACAAAGTGCCTTTAACCTTAGCTTTTGTAGCTCTTGACCATCATAAATGAAGGCCCAGCCTTACACAGAGCAGGAGTGAATGGTGTTTGTGTTGTCTTTGGAGCTGAGGAGCAGCGGTTTGTCATCTGTGCTTTGCAGCAACTGGCCTGTAAGATGGCGCTGGAGCTGCTGACTCAGGAGTTTAGCATCGCTCTGGATCGCCTGTATGTCACCTACTTTGGAGGACATGCCGACGCCGGCCTGGAGCCCGACCTGGAGTGCAAACAGATCTGGATGGACCTGGGGTGAGTCTTGGATAATCGTCCAACCAACTTTTTAAAAAAACTTTTCAGACTTTCTGTCCTCCATGTTGTGTTACCTGGTGAAACGGGTCATGAAGGACGACTCCTCATCCAGTCAAACTGGCTTTTCTGTGTTCATAGCTTACAGCGTTTAAATGTCTAATCTTAGCCTTTAAGGTGTGAAAGGCACCAGTCCTCCTTCATAACCAAATAGATGCAAAACTCAGGTTTCTGGAATGTTTTTCCGAGTATGTTAGTCTTTTTTTTTTACTTAACTTTGTATTCCACCTTAAATCCTGCCATTTTTGGTAACGTGACTTGTCACCGTGCTCCACTCCACACTGAGACAGTCCTGTTCACCGTAATATTTGTGCTGATATGACGCTATTTTCATGTAGGCTATGTTCAATGTTTGTATTTTTCAAAATGTTAGATAAAGAGTTTTTTTCTTTCTTTTTTTTAAGAGAGAATCCTGTTACATATCCAGTCTTTTATGTGATTACATCACTGCACAGCGACTGGATTAATGTTGTCCTTTGCTGGGCCCCCTCTGTGTGCTCAGGGTGGACGAGGCTCGCATCCTGCCCGGCAGCATGAAGGACAACTTCTGGGAGATGGGAGACACGGGCCCCTGCGGGCCCTGCAGCGAGATCCACTACGACCGCATCGGCGGCAGAGACGCCTCTCACCTGGTCAACATGGACGACCCCAACGTGCTGGAGATCTGGAACCTGGTCTTTATCCAGTTCAACAGGTAGCCAGAGCCAGCAGGCCCGGGGGGGGGGATCCTCTGTCAAAGGGGAACAGCAGCTCCGCCTCCAATGAGTCACTAATCCAGTTTCTGCTTAATTTTAAAGGGAAAACGGTCTTTTTTCTATATTCAAGCACAACTTTTCCTTTTACTCAGTTAATGCTTTTATTATTGCATCATCTCTGGGAGGAGCTACAAGATTGACTGCAGTTTTAGCACATCACAGAGATAAAAGTGAATGATTAGGCCAAATAAATTGTTTTTATACGAAAAAAGAGCTCCAAACTAACAATAAATGTCAAGCTCAGAGCAAAAAAGAACTGAATTCTTTACATTTTAAGCAGCATCAGTCATTGCTGAATATAACTAAGTTGCACTATGTTTGCTCAAAGGATAAACACAGAAAAAGGAGCCGGAGCAGTTTCTGAAGTGCGTCCTTTCCTGATCTCAGTTTGCTTGTGTTTTTCTCAGAGAGTCGGAGACGGAGCTGAAGCCGCTGCCTAAGAAGAGCATCGACACGGGGATGGGTTTGGAGCGCCTGGTGTCCGTTCTGCAGAGCAAGATGTCCAACTACGACACCGACCTCTTTGTCCCCTATTTTGAGGCCATTCAGAAGGTGCTGAAACGGAGCCCAGTTTCCCCCCTTAATGCAGAATGTTGGCAACATTTAAGGGCAGAACGCTGCAGATCGCAGCCTGGAAAGATGCTGCTTTCAGCCTCCTCCTGAAGAAACCCGATTCAGTTTGAACTCAGAAATATTTAGCCAAATCAACCGTAGTGAATCTAAATCAGTCAGTATAACCCATAAAGAGTTTCAGATTGTTCTGAATGTGCTCTTTTAACCAGTCTTCTGTCCTGAGCTTCTGAAGGAAAACCAGGCAGAAAGCTGTCTGAGGCCAGATTCTGTCAGAGTGACTCGTCTCTGTGCAACAGCAGAACAGTCTGAGCTGAAGAACCCCCTGAATGTGTGTTTCAGGGTACGGGGGCGCGGCCCTACACCGGGAAGGTCGGCGCCGAGGACTCCGACGGCATCGACATGGCCTACCGCGTGCTGGCCGACCACGCCCGCACCATCACCATCGCGCTGTCGGACGGCGGCCGGCCCGACAACACGGGCAGAGGGTGAGCCGCCCGGCCGATAAAGCAGGAGCGGGTCCTCAGACCCTGCCGTTCACGGTCTAGTTCTGATTCTGGTTCTGGTTCCAGCTACGTGCTGCGGAGGATCCTGCGCCGGGCCGTCCGATACTCGCACGAGAAGCTGGGGGCCCAGAGGGGCTTCTTCGCCTCGCTGGTGGACGTGGTGGTCGATTCCCTGGTGGGGCTCTCTCCTTTCAACAGTCTTATTTTCACGCCTTAAAACATGTTAATGCTCCAGTTGAGCTTTTTGTCTGAAGGTTGCTGGCCTTTGTTAGCGTGGGAAAGGCACCAGTCCTCCTTAAAAACTAAACAGATGCAGAACTCATTTCTCGAGTATATTAGTCCATTTTTTACTTAACTTTGTATTCCACCTTAAAACCTGCCATTTTTGGATTATTATTTTTTTTTTTTGGACTTGCTTGAAAGAATAATTCGATATTTGTTCCTTTTGCCTGACTTCCTCCTCGTGGTTCTGCAGGGTGAAGCCTTCCCAGAGCTGAAGAAGGACCCGGAGATGGTCAAAGATGTCATCAACGAGGAGGAGGAGCAGTTCCTGAAAACCCTCAGCAGGGGGCGCCGCATCCTGGACAGGAAGATCATGAGTCTGGGGGATTGTAAAACCATCCCTGGTAAGACCCCCCCCTTGTTTCATCATGCTTTCCCTCTCTGCTGCAGGTCTGTCGGTTTCACTCCTTCCCTCCATCCTTTGTTTTCCAGCTTTAATCCCCTCAGATTGTATTTGTGGCTTTATGGATCAGTCCCCCCCCACCCATTCATCCGTCTGATGATTGGATTCTTTATTGTCTTAGGCTCATAAATTATCAGGTTTACTCAAACAAACTAAGCTAAAAATTCCAATGAAAACTATTTGGCTGCACTATTTCAGATTTGAAATGACCAAAAATTGTAGATGAGGCACTCCGAACGTTTCTTTACAACCACATGTTCAGCTCAGCGTTTCACAGGGACAGTTTTTACCGGCGCACGCATCTCGAAACAGCTGGAAACTGGAGAAAAATAGCAGGAGAAAAAGTGAAAAAAATTCCCAAATTTAAGTGCATCCTACATTTAGTCAAACACTTGTAATTAAAAATGTACTTGAGCTCCAGTTTGTCCTCCAGATGGAGCCTCTTTGTACCATCAAAGCTTTTTGCTCTTTTCTGCCAATCCTTCACCCATTTGTTGTGTTCCTCTTTGTGAGTCCAGGTGACACAGCCTGGCTGCTGTACGACACCTATGGCTTCCCCCTGGACCTGACCTCCCTCATCGCCGAGGAGAAGGGGATGGAGGTGGACCTGGCTGCCTTTGAGGAGGAGAAGAAGTCGGCCCAGGTCAGGATCTGGACTGTGTGTCGTGTTGTTGTGCAGCAGCACAATTATTACACAAATACTAAAACTCACAGTTTAATAGGACTGAGTAATGTCATTAACTTGATTCCAATACAATACCCCCACATTTTCCTCTTTTTTTGCAACTTTTAAGCCAATTTCGGCATCATTTGAAGGGGAAATGCCAAAGAAAAGTTTTAGTTCTTAACTTATCATCTTAACTTTTCTCTTTTTACGACTTCTGGGATCTGATGCTGTTCTTCTCATACTCGGTGCTTTTAGAGAAGAAATACTTGATGCTATTTTGAATGAGAGTTCATGCTGATCTGAGAGGCTTCTGGTCGGGTTATTTCAATATGATGTCCTCTGTTCTTGAGGTAAATCTTCAGCTTTGCCCATTCGTTTCTATATTTGCTTTAACATCCCAATGGAAGTCTGTTAGTATTCTTCCATTTCCTGGTGGCTTAAAGATGTTTTTGTTTAAAAATTGAGAAGATTAGCTAAATATTGAGGGGATTTAGAGTTTATTCTTTTCAACAAATAACAATCCCTTAGTTTCAGTTTCTTTCATTTGGATGAAACAGCTGGTTTATTTTCTATTTCTCTGCAATCTGTAAATGTATGTTGGGAAAAAAAAGGCCATTTTTATCCCTTGTATTGGAGATATTTTGTTGTTCTTTTGTCCAATAAATACCTCAAAGTAAAATGAAGAAAGTGTTGAATCGAACATTAAGTGTTGCATCCTCCTGACCGCCTGCAGCTGAAGTCTCAGGGCCGCGGGGCCGGAGACGAGGACCACATCATGCTGGACATCTACGCCATCGAGGAGCTGAGGAACCGGCAGATTGCCGCCACCGACGACTCCCCGAAGTACCAGTACAGCTCCGATGCCGCCGGCCGCTACGGTGAGCGCCGCCCGGCCCCCCGCCGCCGCCCGGACGCCGCCGCTCGCCACCGCCGCTCACGGGCGCCGTGTCTGTCCCCCAGAGTTCCAGCAGGTGGAGGCCACCGTGCTGGCGCTGCGGCGCGACCGCGCCTTCTGCCAGGAGGTGACCACGGGCCAGGACTGCGGCGTGCTGCTGGACCGCACCGCCTTCTACGCCGAGCAGGGCGGCCAGACGTTCGACGAGGGCTACATGCTGCGCCAGGAGGACGACGCCGAGGACGTAAGCCCAACGCACCCACCAAGTCATTTCACTGAATATGTGTATTTAACACATTATATATTTCATTATTTGCTATAACTTTATATAATTAAGGATTTAATGTAAATGATGATATTACAAATATTTTATTATAGAATTTATTTCATTAAGTATTTTAAATATATTACATATATATATTCTATATTTACCTCTTATTATATTTGATAGTTCTATATTTATTTAATTATATATTATTAAATATGATTTATTCAATTATTTAATTTAAATATATGTAATTATATAGTTATATATCATTGTTATTATATTACTGTATTTAATGTAAATATTATATTTTATTACAAATCTTTTATAATAGAATATATTTCAATTGAATATATTACATATTTATAAATATAATATATTGTAATTCATACTATATTTATTCAATGCATTATATATTTAATTGTATAGTTGATATAATACTATATTTAATGTAAATGATATAATCTGATATATATTTAATAAAGAATATTAATTTAATATAATGAGTGGCTGTTTCCTTCTGCAGAGAACTGAGTTCACGGTGAAGAACACGCAGGTGCGGGGGGGCTACGTCCTGCACGTGGGCGCCGTCTACGGGACGCTGCGGGTGGGCGACCGCGTCACGCTGCACGTGGACGAGGTGAGCAGACCGCCGCCACGGCAACCCAGCGCCACGGCAACCCGCCGCCGGCTGGCTGACCCTGTCTGACCCCGTCTGCCCCCCCAGGCTCGCCGGCGGCCCGTCATGAGCAACCACACCGCCACGCACATCCTGAACTTCGCGCTGCGCGGCGTGCTGGGCGAGGCCGACCAGAGGGGCTCGCTGGTCGCCTCCGACCGCCTGCGCTTCGACTTCACCGCCAAAGGCGCCCTGAGCACCGGCGAGATCCGCCGCACCGAGGAGATCGCCTGCGCCATGATCAAGGACGCCAAGGTGGGAGGCGGCGCCGTGGCCCGGGTCGCTGCCGGCCGCGTCAGCGCCACCTGACACGCCTCTTCCAACCTTCCAGCCCGTGTACGCCATGGACGCTCCTCTGGCGGCGGCCAAGGCCATCCAGGGGCTGCGCGCCGTGTTCGACGAGACCTACCCCGACCCCGTCAGGGTGGTGTCCATCGGCGTCCCCGTCCAGGAGCTGCTGGACGACCCCAGCAGCGCCGCCGGCGCCCTCACCTCCATCGAGTTCTGCGGCGGAACGTAAGCGGTCCTGACCTTTGACCTTTAACCCGCTCAGTTAGGCTGCTGGATCTTTGAAAAACAAGGGGCTCCAGATAGTTTAAACAGATCGACAGGCAGCAGCGTTTCTGGTGTCTTTCCTCCTTGGCGTTAAAACTCCTGAAAGAGGAGAAAACTGAGCAAACTTCTGCTTCACAGAGCCCAGAGCTGATCAATACTGAGAGCTGAGGATCAACAATCGGAACACTGGTCAATAGTCACAGCTCTGCTTTCTATGGAGGATATTTTTGCTCAGATTTTATTCTTTAAAAGCCGTTTTAGTTGTTTTCTTTGATGTTTCCAGTAGCCACTTCAAAGGCTCTTCCTCCTTTGATGTTTCAGTTCTTAAACGTGCCGCCTTTGGTCTTCTTCTTTCTTTTCTTTTGTTGTCTTCCCACCTGCAGCCACCTGCAGAACTCGGCCCACGCCGCGCCGTTCGTCATCGTCTCCGAGGAGGCCATCGCTAAGGGCATCCGCCGCATCGTCGCGGTAACGGGGGCAGAGGCCCAGAAGGCCCAGAGGAAGGCCGACGCCCTCCGCCAGTCGCTGTCCTCGCTGGCAGAGAGAGTCCAGCAGCAGACCTCCCCCAACAAGGACGTCCAGAAGGAGATCGCAGACGCCACCGAGGTGAGTCAGCGCTCGCCGGCTGACCGCCACCGGCTGACCGGCGCCATCAGCGGCTGACCGGAGCCGCCTCCCCTGCAGTCCCTAGGCACCGCCGTCATCTCCCAGTGGCAGAAGGACGAGATGCGGGAGGCCCTGAAGGGCCTGAAGAAGACGATGGACGACCTGGACCGCAGCTACAAGGCCGACATCCAGAAGCGCGTCCTGGAGAAGACGAAGGAGGTGATCGAGAGCAGCCCCAACCAGCCGCTGCTCGTCATGGAGATGGAGACCGGCGCCTCGGCAAAGGTTCAGGGATCAATACCCATACGTACATGTAGCAGAACAGTAATACATATGTGTTTATTCACATATACATGCATATATACAAACCATGGACCTTTCTGCCCCCCTCCTCTCTCTCAGGCTCTGAACGAGTCTCTGAAGCTGCTGAAGTCTCAGTCCCCTCAGACCGCCGCCATGCTCTTCACCGTCGACCCCGACGCCGGAAAAATCACCTGCCTGTGCCAAGTCCCTCAGGTATCCCCCCCCACCACCACCACCCCCTGGCCCCACCCTCCCGGAGCCCCCCCCTCCCAGCATAGGTAACCTCTCTGCTCCTTTCCCTGCAGGATGTGGCCAACCGGGGCCTGAAGGCCAGCGAGTGGGTGCAGGAGCTCTGCCCCCTGCTGGACGGCAAGGGCGGCGGCAAAGACATGTCTGCCCAGGCCACCGGCCGGAACACGCACAGCCTGCAGGAGGCGCTGCAGACCGCCAGCCAGTTCGCACGCCTCCGGCTGGGGGAGAACTGAGGGCCCCGGGGTGAGGCACCTTTTGGCCCGTTCAAGTGTTCTGGCGTCCCCCGCTCACTTCCTGTCCCCCGCTGATTTCCTGTCCCTGCTCACTTCCTGTCCCTCGCTTGTCCCTACAGATCCCTGCTCACTTCCTGTCCCTCGCTCACTTCCTGTCCTCCGCTTACTTCCTGTCCCCCACTTGTCCCTGCCGATCCCTGCTCACTTCCTGT